CTGATTCACAATGTGACAATATATATATTCACAGTGTGACAATATATATATTTTACAAGAAGAACACTCTCTATACAACTCTAATGCACTAACGGACTGGTGATTTAGGGTCAAGCCCCAAGATGGGAACCTGGTCTGCTTTTTCGTGCAGCAGGTGCAAGCTAAGCCAGCTCCCCTTGATCCGATCGACTGGCATAGGGCAACGAACCCTCATGCGATCAGCCTCTGCTGGCAATGCGGAACATCCTCTGCTGGCAATATGCAGTACGCATTGCTATAGATTCTTGCAAAAGGGTGTGTGTGTGTGTGAAACCGGTCCTCCAGGAGGGATGGGTGGGACACCAGTCTGTCTGAAGTGTATTGTGCATCTGTTTTGGACCTTTGGTATATGAGTACCCCCCTGGTACCGCCACTGGGCTGTTCGGCTCAGCCCAGGGCCGGTAGAGCAACGGATAAATAGTAACGTTGACCCCAAACTGTCTGTGGGAGGCTCATACTTTTCAATAATACACTGCTGGCTCCAGAGACTCGCTTAAGTGAGCGGGCTATATTACCCATGGGGGTCGTGATGTGCTACTTGGAGCGAAGTGTGTGGGAATTGCCTGCGTCTGTGTGGTGTGCATAGAGTTTGGACACCACAGCCTTGCAGGGGTGGGGCGGATATCACGACTGGTATGGTTCCGCTTTTGTGCACCGTGTCCTGGCTGTAGTGGTTAAGATACTTGGCTCTTGAGGCCGAGGTCGCCGGTTCGAGTTCCGTGCTTGCATGGACGAGGGCTGAGGCCCAGAGGTACAGATCCATAAACAATATGCAGTATGCATTGCTATAGATTGTTGCAAAAAGGAGTCTGTCTGAAACCTGGATTACACATTGCTATAGATTGTTGCAAAAGAGAGTCTGCCTGAAACGTGTCCTCGAGGACTGATCGGTGGAGCACTAGTCCATCCAAAGCTACTGTTCATCTGAAGTACCGCCCTGGGCCGTTTGGTTCAGCCGAGGGCCGGTAGAGCAACGGATGAACAGTAACGTTGGCCCCCAAAATGTCTGTTGGAGGTGCAGACTTTTCAATAATACAGAGGCCGGTACTGGTACCGTGTTAACTGTTTTCCAACGGCTGGTGCCGGTCTCACGCTCAGGTTTGGCAAAATGCATTTCTGGTGGTTTAAACCTGCAAAATGCAGTCCCTACAGTTGCAGATCGTCCACCCCGGTCTGCCACAGCGGACTGGATTATTGGCAGGATAAGGTTGGAGCAGAAAGGTTTGGTCTTCCTTCTGCTGCAAACATTGTCTGCAATGTCGTCTCTCGTCCTGTAAATGTGCGGAGACCTCTATAAGCACCTGTTTCTCTCATGCTCGAGATTGGGCATGATATGGAGGTATGGAGGTCGTGGACGCTGTCGGGAAAAAAAACTGACAGGACCTGGATATGGAGATGTGTGCCCCATCTGATGGAAGATGTGTGCCCCATCTGATGGAAGATGTGTGTGTCACAATATACCTTTCTCAGCCCTGGTGGCGAAGATAAACTGTAGTATCTGTTCCATGGTCAGTTTAATATCTCATCCATGGTCCATCGGACCACATCTTATTAAACCACCAGTACATGCGAGCCTCATTTTGCCGAGGCGGAATCCCTCTGCTCACCGAGCTTTGTCGAAACACCAGTGCGGTGTTTCTTTTTTTTTCTGGCTGGCGCAGCCAGCCATTTTGCTCCTGTAGCACTGTTCATCCGAACTTTTCGGACTGACTCGTTTTCGACTCTCAAGACTGCCTGGGCAGCGTACTTGCGGTTTAACCAAAAAAGAAAAAAGAAAAAAAAAGAGAGAAAAAAAAGAAAAAAGAAAAGCAATGTGTGTGTCACAGAAACTTCAGTGATGTGGGCCATCTGGACACAGAGATCTGTTGAAGCTGGAAGATACCGGGAAAAGTGGTAAAAAAAAACAAAACTAAAATCAGTATTTTTACTATTTTACCGTTTTACGTCCTTCGGGAGATCCGTTAAAATTGGAACGATACGGAGAAGATTAGCATGGCCCCTGCGCAAGGATGACGCACATAAATCGAGAAATGGTTCAAAAAAAAAAAAAAAAAAAAAAAACGGAAAAAGACAGCAGTAAATATTTTCATTAAAATTGGAACGATACAGAGAAGGGGAAGATTAGCATGGCCCCAGCGCAAGGATGACACGCATAAATCGAGAAATGGTCCAAAAAAGAAAAACAAAATCATTATTCCAAGATTTCGTTTTGGAGACTCAGATCAGAAAACACTGGCAAATAACACTAAAGCGATCAAATATGAAACAGTCCAAGATCTGGTGGAGACTGAGATAAGGAAACACTGGCAACTAACACTAAAGAGATCTGGGAACGGATAGAATTATAGGTGAAATAAATACCAGAGCATGGTCCTTTCGGGCATCTGTAGAAAACAGGTTTTGGGATGATGATGCGTCTTTGCCTATATACTATATAGACAATTTACTTTTGTGAATGGGTAATCATCCTGGATGATGTGTCTTTGCAGATATAGACAGCTTACTTTTGTGAATGGGTATTCCTCTTTTTGCTGTTTTCCTACCTGGGAGAATGAGGTTTTGTGAGTGGTGCATTCTGGCTGGGCATGGCAGGAGGGAGGGAGTATTCTTGGCTGTTGCGTGTTTGGGGCCTACGCAGGTTCTTGAAATCTTTGAAATGATGAAGGAAGCTGGATGTTTGCCGAATGCTGTTACGTTTTTGACCTTGATTGGAGGATGTGTAAAAGGTGGGCAATCCCAAGGGGTTGCTGCACGACTTGTTGATGAGATGGTGGATGCTCAGTGCAAACCCATTCCGTCACTGTCATCTGCAGTGATATCAGCTTGCGTAGCCCTTACGAAGAAAGAGATTTCCCAAGTTTGCCAGAAGATGTCCGACCTTGGGGCGGCGATCTTTTCACATGTTGCCAAGCTGCTTCTCCAAGATGACCTGGACCATCAGCAGGTGATACTAGTACCTCTCTCTCTCTCTCTCTCTCTCTCTCTCTCTCTCTCTCTCTCTCTCTCTCTCTCTCTCTCTCTCTCTCTCTCTCTCTCTC